CCCCGGCTGGCACCAGCTCTCTGAGGACTGGAGCAGGGAGCAAGGCTGCTCTCCACGGTGGAGCAGCACCGCTGTGGGGGCCAAGCCGTCCTCAGAGCTATGGGGGAAGGGCTCATGATCAGGGTCTCAGCACGCAGAGTCACCCCACCCTGCTCCCCCTGCACCAAGGTGTGATGCCCCAGGGGTACCCGCCGCAGTACACCTGCCCCTGGTGACAGCGATCCCTCGGTCACCAGCCCTCCTCCCACCTCCCCAGCGCCAGGTGAGCCATACGACCAAGCAAAGATTTACGAGTAGCGAATTCAGAGTTACAAACCATGGGAACAAAGCTGGAGAGGGGAAGGTGAGACTCTGAGTGTCAGTCTTGGCTGTACCGGCACCAGACGGCGGCGTGGGTGTGCCAGACAGCACAGGGCTGGCAGCAGCCTCCTGTAGCTGCCCTTTGCCCAAGGCTCTCGGTGCGGGAGTGCTTCAGCCCTCAGGCAGTACCGTGTGCGGCTCCTGGTTTCTCTTCAGGGCAGGTGGACCCTCAGGGGTGCGTCTCTCCCTTGGGATGTCGAGACCTCACGGCTTCTTTGGCTGCAATAAGAGCACCAGAGAGAGGGGACTGAGGTGCTTCGGGGGACTGTGGTGCCCCAGCCCGCCCCGGGCAGCACAGGCAAGCGGCCCGGCAGCTCCATGTAGGGGGGCAGCAGTGGGCGGCAGCCTGGGGAGATGGGTCTCTCTTGGCAGGAGCTGGCAGAGCTCACCGAGGAGGAGTCCCTCACGGGGGTCCCACTGCTGGTGTTTGCCAACAAGCAGGACCTAGTGACTGCAGCACCCACAGCCGAAATTGCAGAAGGGCTGAGCCTCCACACCTACCGGGACCGGGAATGGCAGATCCAGGCCTGCTCAGCCTTGTCTGGGGAAGGAGTGCAGGTAGAGATGCGGGCTGTGGGCTCTGCAGAGGTGGGAGAGGACCCAAGGACCTCAGCGCTATTGGGGCTGCGCTGACGGGTGTCTCTTCCCTCCAGGATGGGATGAACTGGATTTCCAGCCAGATCATGAACAGGAAGAAGTGAGAGCTGCGAAGCACCAGCCTGGACTGAGCTGCAGGTCCCTAAGCTGTGGCCAACCCCCTTGTTCCCTGGACTGCCCCCGAGGCCTCGGCTGGGCCCTGAGCCTTGGGCTGCCGGGCTCGGATGGGCTTCCCACCCAGGCTTTCACTCATCAGTCGGCTTCCCCTCTCCCTGCCTCCTGGGCTCCTCGTACCCCCCCACCCCCCTGCAGCCCCCGTGCTGTTGGAGGCAAGCACATGTGCTGTTGTATCAAGGGCCCGCATGCCTCTAGAACAAGAACTCACTCAGGACCGGTCCACCCATGCTGCCAGCACACCCTGCAGAGGCTGCTGCAACGCACAAACTGCCCTGGTCACGCTGGGCACCCCACCACAGCCGCGGCCGTGCCCCCAGACCCC